GCATCATTCAAAAGCAGACACAATGGTCTCCTAAAGAGATTATAGCTTAACATAGCAGTACCAGCTTTGGAGCAAAATAGATTTAGATTTGCATCTTCATGTGGCCACAGACTAGCTATTTGGCTTAGGATAATTCAGTTAACTTTCTAAATACAGTAGAACCTCCATAGTTGACCACCTCCTTAAGTTAACCTAATGTTCACAGATGGGACATGTACCACATCCATGTACCATCAGTACAGTAGGCCTAGGTCTTTATGTTGACCACCTCTATATGTTGACCATTTTGTTCCAGTTCCTTGGGTGGTCAACTTACAGAGGTTCTACAGTTAACTCATTTTTATTTTGCAAAGCTGTCTGAGGAATAAAAGAGATAAAGTAAGTAAGTACTCAGCAGAATATCTGGCTTAGAGTAATAGCTCAATCAATGGTACACTTACGGTAACCAAATGATACCCAATAACAGAGCTTAAATTTGTCGGTTAAGATAACTACTATTCTTCAAACTTTACATTTATATAGAACAAATATAAAATTTAAAAAACAGCACATGAGAGAAAATTTGAAAACCACAGGGAAAAAAAAAGAGAAACAAATATATCATAATCCTACAACCCTCAAAACAACAGTTAAATTACCGCACTTAGAAATTATTCTCTCTTCCCAGGAGAGGAAAGAATTGTTATTCCGACCATTTCCCTTTCTCTGTATTTCATCAGCCTGTTTGAATTTCTAGAGGACAGGAAAATGAAAAGGAAAAAGGTAAAAAGAACCAGTCAGTTTTTACTCTTCTTTTTGGGGTAACAAGTTCTCATTACTATAACAGAAAACTTTAGATTTTGGAAGAAAAAATAAATTTGAGGATTATCTGTAGAGTTTACAGTCATTCTTCACCAGACTCATTATAAAGATCTGTTGATGATGTGAGACCTGCAGATGCATAACATGCTTACCTTTTCCATATCTGCCCACCAAGAAATTACTCACTTTAAGAAACACCTATTATGGCTCGGCGCCTA